AAGGTCACAAACGATTGTTAGATTATGGTAGCACAAGGTTTAAGCATTGTACGTCTGTCATTTGAACAAAAAAAAACCGTTGATATGTAGGCTAAAAGAATTAGATACAGTTTCTAAGATAAAAATAGGCGAAACAGAAAACACAATCATGTCTGAAACTAATATAGAACGATATATTGGGTTGCATACTAATTAATTACCAAGCTATTTGACAATGAATCAAAGTGAATGAATAGAAGGATTTGTCATTCAATGACAACTGTTCCTCTTTCATTTGTTCTCGCAACCAGAGCCCAATTAGTTGTACATGATCCTTAGATCAGAATGCAATGATCGTTAAGTTCTGCTATGTGAAAAGTATCCGTAGCCAGACCAGATTGTAGGTATGGATTTCCTCATCACATAGTCTGATACCATGGTTTTTTTGATGATGTTTTTTTTTCTAGGTTTCTAGCACTAGAAGCCGAAAATATGTTGTTGTTAATAGGAAAGATTTTCTTACCAACCACCTGTTTATGCATTCTTGCTCATTAATGCATTTCTTTTTCTTTCTTAATAATTAATGACTTTGAAGAGCGAGAAAATATAAGCACTCTCTTCCATGAATATGCGATGAAAATTACCTCTAAGAGGAGAAGCAGATATTGTTCTGTTTCAAACCATTCTTTGGTGTAGGTTTTCCTGTGAAACATTTGAATTTCCTGAGAATGAATATTCAAATAGGAAAAAAATGATATCATTGTTTGCATGATGCAAATACAAGTCGATGCCTGAGCATCACTTTATTTCAGAATAATTCAACTCGACAGGATATTATGAAACTCGAGTTGTACTGTTATTCTTCACTAAAAACGCAAGAATAATGAATCCACATCTTTTATTAAGTCCCTGAAAATCATACTAAACTACAAACAAGAGTCGGAAATTTTGAATACATTATTCTGGAGAGAGAGAGAATGCTTCTTCTAAGAAAACTATAACAAAGTAAGTATCATTTTGCGACTTGCATACATGTTTTCTTCTACTAATGAAAGGTACCAGAAACTACTGTTGAAAACAAAGCTATATTCAATAAATAAATGATTTTTGCCGTCTATATTTCTTGTTCAGACTAGGATCCTTGATCATGCAGCCTCTTTCTAGTGACTCATTAACTAGCTTTTGTATGAGTATTAGTCTTACAACTTGATTATTGATTAAAACCAGCTCAACTGTGATGCATTATTTGATGTCAAGTATCTCATAAGTCGAAATAGTCTCAACGTTGATTACCTTTTGTAGCATATAAGTTACGTATATCGTACCTAACATTTGGTCAATACAATACTGATGTATCCATAAATATCTAGTATTAGGTAGCTATGAATGAATGTAACGGCGAACAACGAACAGGTTTGATTATTTCATGATAACTTAGTTTGTTATCAGCGAGGTTTCATTGTTTTTATAATGATAACTATGAAAATTTCGTTGTTTCAGGCAATACCAACAGATAGTGCAGACGGGCGTCTCGATTTTGTCCATGATATTTCTCAAAGCAAGACCTTATCTTCAATTGTAACTGTTGATTCAAGTACTGATCAAGGTCTCGATCTGCTGGTTCTCTATACACCATCATTATTCCTACCGTCCACTGCATTAAACTCATATTTCCATGCAGAAAAATTATACAATGAGATATAGTTTAAAACTTCAAAAAATATTTTCTCATCAACTAGAGTTCATCGCTAACCATCTGTCAATCTATTCTCACTCATTAGTGTTTTTCTCCTTTCATCTTCGCTTTTTTCTCAAGCAACGGTGATGGACTACAAAGGACGAGAGAAAAACAAATATCATTTTCTCTCATGATTATTTGAGAAATATAGACCAATCGAGAAAATAGGTACACTTTTGTATTTCAGTCTGTCATTGAATCATTGCCATCCATATTGCATCTGAGATGCCTATGAAACAGTGCTTAAACTGAAGAAATCTTCTCAATGATCGAATGAGATAAATACAATTAGATGATTTTCTGCTCTCTACTGTACAATAATAAAGATTCAAAAATGAACTTCTAAACCGAACATCATGATACGACAGATTCCTGTAGCACATCGAGAGTAAATAAAGAAGAATGAAAAAACAAATGATAGTTATTTCGAAGAATGATTCTCGAAAGTTCTTAAATCTAAGTACTATTACATCTCGATTGTCGAAATGGTGTTTCTAATCAAATCTGTGCTGCTATCGTCGTTGATCGTCTTCATCCCTCAATCATACTATACCAAGCGGCATTAGTTTGAATACTCAGAATTCTGCTTGAAAAACTTCACGTAAACTAGAGAAAAATGAACGTTTTTCGATATTCAGGAGAGACAGAGAGGTATTCGTACTACTCCGATCTTCTCCTCTCACGCTTAACACAAAAATGTTTTTCTTCAGAAGACGATGTTCATAAATGGGCGTATGTAAAATGCATTAAATAAATAATGTTCTCTTCGACATTTTTTTCCATTGTCTGCCTCTGCAATATTATAATAACTATCGGAAATAAAAGTATCAGCGTCTAACCTTTTGCTTTTTCAGTTAGGGGCATTTTCTAGTGCGATGATCTTGAGGCTGAGAAAACATCCAGCAGCTGCTGAGCGTTTCGTTGCATCTACAGCAGCATTAGCATTAAATGCAAATGGTGTGTGACTTTCTCTCATTTTTTCAAACAAATAGACATCCTTAATGATATAAGAGAGTAGTGCTGACTGTTATTATGAGCAATTTCTTTGACAGTCTCGAAGTCGGTTGCCATTTACATTTGCTAGATAGGTAGATATTTCCTCATGATTAAATAGCAAATACGTTGACATCATTTTATGATATATTGTGTAGACATTGCGATTCGAGTTCTTGATTGGAATACCACAGAGTCATTTATACATGAGTTTTGCTATTCATCGACATCTCGTAGGCGATGATCGATTAGATGTTGACGAATTATTTTTTTTTTTCGTTCAAATTTAATTCAAAATCACTGAATGAATCTAAACAGAATGTCACATAGAAAATGAGATAGGATGACTAACAGTTGATGAGCTTTTTGAGAAAATCATTTGAATATTATTTCATTAGCGTCTATATTTGTCATTTTCTCTGAATTAAGTTAAATAGGAAGTGGTACTCACTAGCATCCAACGCAGTTCATGTTGAAAAAATTAATCAGAACATAAGCGAAAGCTGCTGATTATGAATTGACGTTATGTTTAGGTTCACGAATTCTACGTGGCTGTGAAACGCAAATTCATCTATTAGTGATCGATGGAAAGAATATCAGTTTTCGTCTCGTACGTCTTTATCTTCTTTAATATCTCAAGTCTCTTATTATTGTTCTCTGTAGAAGTGGAAAAGCCAAACGAAAGCTGCTACTTAGCGTTGGTATGATCACTGGTTTAGTTCTCATTACCTCAGTTATCGTCATATCTGTGCTCTTAACTCGAAATAAGGGATCAGTCTTGAATACAAATGCAGTCTCCTCTGGTATGTATGCACGCATGTATTTTGTTGACCGGCTAAATTCAATGACATTCTTATAGATTGTGTATGATGAAAACACTTTTCTCTCTTTTGTGCTGTCGCTTCTATTTAAGTAATATACGACCCTCGAATTTCATTTGTACATTTTTATATATCTTATCTACTTTTTGAAGTTCCAGGAGATGCCATAGTTTTGAAAAATCGAGAACTCAAATTTTTTTTGCTATGAATCATACTTTAGCTAGGACAATGCTGATTATTATAAAAAGTTCCGTGATTTAGTTTTTTTCTTGTGAAACTGCATATAACTCTCCTTCATACTTCCTATGATTTACAACGAACATCAAAGAAAATTCTAACTAGTAATTATTTGAAATTCGGCGAAACATTCAGAGATTTCATTAAGTTGCACAGTCCAATCAATAAACTATGATGAGAGAGAAGAGTAGTTTCTTAGTTGCTCTTTACTGAACATGGTTCTTTCGAGGCGTGAGTTCAGCAAATAGTAACTTAAAATGATCCATCTTGTGTTAAAAAATAATATCATCTGTATGTATTATGTATGCTAGATACAACAATAGCGACAACATTAATTGTATCAACGGCAAATACTAATGTCATAAACGATACAATAGTCTTGACAGGTCAGTAGAAAGAGTCAACTTAGAGAAAATATCAAACATTGCTGCAATATCTCCACATGTTGTGGATGCTTTGACACATTTTAGGTAGCTCATCAACTACTTCCAGTAGTAGTACTTCCTTTACTGCAACATCGGCAATGATCAGCCCCACTACGACTGCTACAACACTAGGAACAATCAGTCGCACTACTACTTTTGGAACACCGATCCTGATCAGCAGTTCTATTACCACAAGGGCATCAACGACGATCATCAGCACTACCACTGCAAACATTTCGCGTGAGTACATATATTGGTGTGAACAGACACTCAATTTGTCAAGGTGAAGCAGGTTCATTTGATTGTCCTGAAAACTTGGATAGCTAATGTTCGAAGACTAATAGAAAAATAATGTAGCTTCTCAGATGATGTTTTTCTCGATTTAAACAGTGTGCAAGGAGAATAGAACATATATCAATATGGTTAGATGAGTGTCGTAAACGTCATGTTTTATAAGTACTTTAATGACTTGCTAAGAAGAGAACAATCGATTCTACAATTACTGTTCTGTTATATTAAAATTATCATTACACGATTCATGGTCATGGTTCGAGAGAAATTTTCTTGAAGAATGATATATGCTCAATTTAACATGTATAATGCTCATGGATTCTAGGTACCATCTGCCGCAATATGTCATTCATTCAGCAGTTTACATATAGCATAGGAAATATAACTTGTTCAGTTGCTCTCGGTGACCTCAATGGCGACAATCAGATGGATCTTATTTTTCCCAATCTCAACGAGAATGATATCTACGTTTTTCTTAGTAACGGTAACGGAACCTTCAGATCACCAACAACTTTCATGACTCGTACAAATCCATATGCAGTCGCTATTGGTGACATCAATGGAGATAACTATCTAGATATAGCTGTTGCTCATCTTAGCGATAGTAGTGTTGGCATTTCACTCGGTGTTGGCAATGGTACTTTCTTTTCACAAAGTTCATTTGCAGTTGGTCTCACCCCAATTACAGTTTCTGTCCAAGATTTCGATGGTGATCAACGCCTTGACTTGTTGGTTGTTAACAATGATGCCAATACTGTCAGCATTCTGCTCGGTTATGGTAACGGAACGTTCGCCTCGCAAAAAGTTTTTAATACATTCATCTATCCCATGGTAGCCGTTGTAGCGGACTTTAATCATGACAATAGTTTAGATTTTGCTGTCACCAACTATGGTAGCAATAGTGTGAGTGTTCATCTAGGCTATGGTAATGGTACTTTCCGAACACGAACATCGTATGCCACCATGATGAATCCATGGGGACTGGCGGTGGGTGATCTGAATGGTGATCAACACATGGATCTAGTCACAGCAAACTGTGCAAATAGTACGATGAGTGTGCTACTCGGAAATGGCAATGGTACCTTTCGAGCAGCTGTTAACTATAGGATTGGAAGTTGTGCATATGCACTTGCAATAGGTGATATGAATGGAGATACTTACTTGGATGTCGTGGCTGTAGCAACCTTTTCTTATTATTTTAGTATATTTCTTGGTGATGGACGAGGTTCTTTCTTTGAATGGTGGTCTTTTCTTACAGATGACAATCCGACATCGTTGGTTCTCTATGATTTCAACAATGATGGCCGACTTGATGTCGTAATTGGTCATTACACGGGTACTATAAGACTATTTCTGAACACATGCTAATATCTTATAACTTGTCTTAAACTAAACTCTTAGAGAAAAAACTTCATTCAATGTAGCTTCATCTAACTATGCTTCACTGGCTTGCTTATCTATCTTTTTCTCGAAATAAACTGTTAATAATAACGATCAAAATAGTCGTTTTTCATGAATGAGATGGGGTGACTCCCTCGGTCTGCCTACATATTAGAAGTTCTTTTCATAAAAGAAAGTTCACCTGAGAAGAATAATATCAAATTCATAATAGATGGTAGTAGTCTTGTGACAAAGCCTTTCATCTTAATATTTTTAAATTTATTTTTTTGGGAACTTCTATCCTCGAAGAAAATAGTAGGTGTTATCTATTAGTCGAAGTTTTGTGGCTTCTCCTCCATTCTCAATTGCAGATGTTAGCGATCGAGATCCAAGGCAAAACAAGCTTTTCAAATATTCAGAGTAGTAGAAAGAATATCATAAACACCATTACTTATCATATGGATTAAAATTATTATTTATATCATAGATACTTGATGATCATTTTGAAATCTTCTTTAGTGATTTAGCTTATATTCATCTAAAGCCAGAAAAAATTCAAAAGTCGTGAAAAGAAAATTTTGAGATATTTATTATACCAAAGGAGTGTACACAATATCTACAACTTTTTGATAGATCAGTTTTCTATTGTTTCAAAAAAACGGATTGCCAAATTGTTGCTAATGAATACATCGACCTTTATAGTTCTCGTAATAAATTAAAATCACCAGCTAAAGAAAGAAAGTTTATTTACTCGTTCAATTTTGGACAATATGTGATCGAATTCAAAACAATGTCAATTTTGAGTGTGCTTTTCTAGACATTGGTCATATATAGAGTAGATGCATTTTTTGTTTCTATTTTAACTGTACACGAATTTATTATTGATTCATCAACAACGACTTCTTTTACAATCAATATTGACGATAATGACGACAAAATAATATACGAAAAAGAAATCATGATTCGAAAAAATGAGAACTCACTTTTGTTAAACATCATCATCAACAATAAAGAGAAATCAATCAGCTCAGTTTAGATCAGAATTAATTTTAGTCGATGTTTCTTTTTCATATTTTTAAATAATTTTACCACGAGGTAAATAGCGGAACCCTGGACTTCAGAATTCCATATGTTTCTAGAGTCGTGTAAAACTAATTAGAATTCCCAGTGATCGTCAAAAAGTCTATAAAGAGCAATCATCCGTATTACAACAGACTTTCCTGTTAGTGTCTCGTTTTCCTTTTTCTTCATTTGTGACCATCTATATATGTACATATTGAATCGCTAGCTAACTGTGTTTGGTTAAGTTCTGACTTTTAGGGTTGCCTCATCTCCGCCTCAAGCGTAGCAACTCAGCCTGTTTCATCGTTAATCTATCAATAAATTCAGATCAATTCATTGTAACAGAGCTCTAAATACATACTAGCATCGATGAGTTTCTTTACTAACGGCTAAAAGTCAACATGCTTTGTTACTAATGATCATCTAATTAGCGCAACAGTGTTCAGAAATGTTTGAATCGTTTTTTATTCAATTTTACTTGCTTCGATAACTCATAATAACCTCTCAGTCGATACATGCTAAGATTTCTCAGTTAATAACCGTGAGATTGACCATTTCTATGAATATTTATTGAAATTATTAATTTTTAGCTTGTAATATGGGTGTGACTGTGATTATGCGTGTGTGTGTATGCATGTTTACAGACAAGAGCGACGCTTACACTTACACTCAACTCTACTCTGTTTCTCAACATTCACTGTACGAGGTTTATTTGCAAATGATAAGCTTTTTTATTTAAAAACTTATATTCAAGATTGTGCTTTTTATTGTTTATATATATATCTAAAGTTGTGTTCAAGTAGGAGCAGCATGATCATCAATCTTTCTTTTACTATTGAAACTTTGTTAAAACTTTTCATATTTAAGGATTTCTTCTGTGGTTTTAATACTTATGAGCTACATTGTGTTGTGTGTTCACTAATCATAAGCTAAAATGCACACTACAAGAAATAAATTTGTCTAGAAATGATTGAAAAAATAAGCTTCAGAATGAGGTATCTATGAAAAGTATTATTTAAGATGTTTTATTAACTATTGACGTATGATAAAAGATTCTTCTTCAAGTAGCAACAAATTTAAGTACTCAAGACTTCAAAATTATATAGAATTCCATCGAATTCCAGGACTCCAGGATTCCTCTATTCCTCCCTTGCCTTGAGGATTCAAAAGTATCCTCTAGGACAGCCTTTGAGGACTTCAAGATACTCCGTAGGATAGCCCTTGGAAGCTTATAGAGACTTTATCAGATGTGATATGATCAGTTCTGTGAACTAAGCTGAACTGTTAGCGCAATTCAACTAAGTTCGCACGAACTATTTAACCTTTAATTAATTCTTCATTTCTATTGATTTACAAATGAATTTGATGGGGTTATATGCAAGATTCGCCATTCTTAATATTATCGTGTTATGCAATTGATATTTTGTTCTTTTTTTCTCGAATAGCTTTGTATAAGAGAACAAAAAAAATGAAAGAGTGTAGGTGTGAGCGGGTATTGGTGTGAGTGTTCTAATTCAACCCACACCCCACACCCATCCACCCGAGAAAAGAATAACAATTCTCTTTCTTATGAAGATTTTGGTTCATTCGAGTCTCACTCATTTGATTCACCATAAAACACATCCGAAAAAAACACAAGGATTCAGAAAGATGAATGAAATCCTACTAATCATCTGCTACACGTAAATTGAGTTGAGTGTCAACAACTATTGCAATGGATCTATTGTATTGAACTGCCATCTAATGTATCTGTTATTGCTGTGAAGGCAATAAAGCTATATGCGAATATTAACTGTTCTCTGAGAAATTAAAGCACAGACCTATAGGACCATATAAGTATGTGCTGTTGATTACTATTATATTATCTCCAGTGCCCAAATTGCTTGATAAATATCTTTTGTTCATCACATATACAATCAAATCGAATGGATTGATCATTTGATGAACGATGGTCAACGATGACAAATGCTTCTTTATAATATTCAGCAAAAGACAAGTAATTATATTTCTTTATTCGAACTAGTCATATATATATATATATATATATCAATAGATGACACACACAGGAAATCTCATTGACATGAATTTAGTTGCTATTTACGAAGGTTATTTTTTTTCGATCGTAAAAATGAATGCAAACAAAACAAAACAATAAGTGAGAATTTGATTATCAATTGTTTCATGACTTCTTATGAACCACAATAACTATTGTTATTCAGTGCGATCAGTATTTATCGTCTACGAAAAAAACGATCGATTGATTTGATACATCGATAATTTGAACAGTCGAGATCGTTGAACATGAAATCGAACTATAACATCTTCCATATTATTCATCTCCGATGAACTCCACAATTTTTCGGCCACAACTGATGCCCGTGGCCAAAAGCGTGATAAACTATTAATGTCATCGACGAATTCTCCACAGAGTGTTGCTTCACCACCAATCAGTCGTTTTCGTGCAGTCTTGTAACCTACAAACAAAGCTCGAATGTTAGTACTATGAAACAAGCAAAACAGAGTGTACCGGTAAAATTGCCAAACAAATCAATACTGTACCACTTGGAAAATTCAGCATTCATGACTGAGTCTGATTCATCATATTTTCTATAGGACATCCTGAAAAGAATCAGTTGCTAAATAAATTTTTCGATAGAAAATAGATCAAATTGTTCGTACATGCTCAAATTGAATGGAGCAGCAAGAACAACATTGTATCCTTCATTGATTGCTTTTGATAAATAAGTGGACCATGAAGCATCTTTCCAAATTTCGATAACTACGTCCAGTGGTAAGTTAACACCATCATCCCAGACATCTTGCCAAACCATCGGTTTAGCTCCGATATTTTGAACAATTTCAAGAATTGCACTCGAATAATATGTCATCAAATCGGTACACTTGCTCATTCTGTTCTCAATCATAAATTCTTGAATATTGAGATTTGATATGCTATGCAAAGAAGATGATAGAAATCAAGAACAAAAAATGAAATCATAATTCTTACCAACATGCTGAATAAACTTCATCCATGCCGAGATGGATATAGGATTCATATTCAAATATTTGCTTGATTTCTCTGAGAATTTTTTCGATAAATAAATAGATTTCTGTATTTGTTGGATTGATTATTCCAACTGTTGATTCACTATGACAGTTAATTAAAAAATCTGTAGCAAGAAAAAAAAAATTCGAAACACAATGAAAAAAGAATCAGTACCTACCTGGAAAAGCTCGACCAAGAGCATTGATATGACCAGGAGCGTTAAGTTCAGGAATAATACGAATACCACGAAGACGAGCATATTCGATAATATCTTGAACATTTTCAAGTGTGTAAACATGATCCGATGAAACAGTACCCTAAATATTACAAAGATAATGAAAATGAATTTGAAGAAAAAATAAAATAAAAAGAACTTTTTCTGTCAATGTCGAATATCTTTTCGAAACCAATGGCCAGAATTGATCACCAACAATGCGCCAATGAAGTACATTAAATTTATTGTAAGCCATCATATCCTAACAATAAAAGAATTTGAGAAATATGGCATCTTATGATGTGCTTAGCTAAGACACTTTTCTAATCACTCAATGATATTCAAAGAAAAATATTAACCTCGCGTGATCGAGGCTAGCTAGTTCTACACATATTTATTCGAACTTCTTTTATTCATTGTTTTCCAAAACCATGACTCATACAATTCAAAGTGTAGTTTACAAAAGTCTTGATATATTTTTTGAGCAGATATATTTTTATTTTCAAAGATGAAGATTACATCATATTTGGTTCTAACAAATTCTTCATTTCTGTTCTCTAATCGAATCGGATTCACTGTGTAAACTACTACAATACATACCAAATGTTTTTTTATCACTGAAGTTCGTAGAAAATTACGACCAGAGTCTAGAAGAATACCACGATA